TGTGTTGCTTAGATGGCTACTGTGTGTGCTCTGCCTTTGTTGACGTCGTCGTTGTCGTCGTATAGTTTCGTTTGTTAATTCAGCTAACAAGGAGAATGTGTGCTGAGAGAGAGAGCGAGTGAGCTATGTATTGTTGTGTGTTGCTTTCATTGTAGTGGTGTTTATCTATGTGAGGTTTTGTTGTTGTTTTCTGTAACTGAAGTGTGCTGTTGAGTAGTCAAAAGAGGCGGAGACGGTTTGCGGTAATTTATGGTAAATGAATTCATTCATAATTGGATTGTGGTGAGCAAAATGGGTACTAAAAATACAAAACAAAAACAAACAAACGAATAAACACACACACACGTTTACTACTCTTGAAAATGAAAAGAGATGCCAGATGTGTGGCGTAGGGGAATTGTCGCTACTAGAATGGTATGGTGTGGAATGTCTGTAGTTTTTAAGTATCATTCCATATCAATTAGGGTGTTATAGGTTATTTTCTTTATTATTACAATTACACATTGTTAGAATTTATGCTTATGTGTAATACATATTTCTGTATTGTTTATTGGGTAAATAATAATAGTACGTGTAATGTTGTTATTTATGCAAAATAGATAAATTCAATTAAGCAAATGATATAACTTTGCCTTAATAAATGTGCTAACTATTTTGTTTGTTTATCAAATGGAATTTTTTTATTAAAAATGTGTTTGTAATACTATATAAATGAATAAAGTGATTATAATAAGTTGATGATCCCATTTTTTTTTTTTTTTTTTTTTTTTTTTTGTTATGAGCTTTTATAAAATTTAAAAGTAAATTTATAATATTGGGACAATATATTTTATGTTTAAACTAAATACGACATACACCAGTAGTCGGCATTTTCTCTATATAATAAATATAAAAAGAAGCCAGTAAGGAAAGTAGTAAAGTCGGACTGGGCCGACTGTATAATTCCCTCACTAATTTGGGAATCGAATCAGTACGCTATGCCACATTTCGTGAAAATCGAAGTATATATAGGGACTATGGTGCACCATTTACATAAAATCGGAGGAAAATATATATGGGAGCTGTATCTAAATCTGAACCGATTTTTCCCAATTTCAATAGAGTTAAGTGACCTATGTACAATTTTATCCAATTCGGATCATAAATGCGACCTGTACTTTGTTTACAATTTAAAATGGACAGACGGACGGATGCATAATGATTTAAAAGGAACCATGTGTCTTTGAAAGCGTTTCCTTTTGCCTGTTACAAACATATGCACAAAGACATAATACCCTGTATCACAGTGCGGTGAAGGGTATAAAAACAAGTAAAACATCGCTTAGTTCTTCGAATCGAGCTGAAAATTGTATACCATCTACCATGTGGAGTGCATTCAAAATTTCTCAAAAAGTTCAGAAACTTCATATAGTGAATATGCCAATGCAAATTGTCCGCTAGTAAGTTCTTTATTTGGAAAAATGAAATGACAAAATTAAGCGGAGCCATTTATGGGAATGATGTAAAACTTGTGAACCGAAAATCGGTCGGGTCCCCATCTACAATCAATTGTGGGTAAGTCGGAGTCACAAGGTTTGTGTTTAAATTAAAATTTAAAAATTTTTAATTTACATTTTATAGATTACACAATTAACAACATGGAGAAGAAATTCTTGCCAACGAATAGAGAATCGGTCAACATTAGCTGGTCAAATAGTCCTAAACTTTTGGGTTAAAAATAATAAAATTGTTCTGTTATGAGGTATATAAACCTATAAATTTATATCAATTATATTGACGTATATATGGGGTGAAGAGGGGGGCACCTTTGAAAAGGACTCATATCTTTTGAAAGCTCGATCGAGATCGAGAATGGTGATACTGATCTCGATTTTAACTTCGCTGATGAACTATTTGAAGACTCAATTGTTGTAGAGTGTCATGAAGCGCAATACATCGATTTGAGACGAATTTTAAGCAGAATTTTGCGATCGTTTATAAACTTAAGAGTTATTGTCGGTTATATAAAAATAGTCGTTGAAAATTGCCTTTAAGAATTTAATAAAAAAAAAACAGTAAGGAAAGTAGTAAATTCGGACGGGCCGACTATATGATATCCTTTACAACTTAGGGTATATTCAAGAGATGCATCCTAACATACCTCGCATTTTTAAAGGACATGAAATTGAACTAAATTGAATATATGATCTGTGTATATATGTGAACCCTATAAGGTATATATATTCTTTATCATTGTAAAATCATATGCCGATGTCTTTCTGTTGTAATCACTCTAGCCTCTAAAAAAAATTGAGATAGTTCACGAAAATTTTGCAGAGTAGTCTTTTGTCTGCCGACAGGACAAGTTCGAAGATAAGTTAAGGGTACACCCAAGTTTCGATATTTTGGGGTTCTTGAGCGCGTTATTATATATATTGGTCCATTTTTTTCTGGTACCCCAAATAACTGTACCCCTAATTTTCAGTATTTTGGAGTTCTTGAGGAATGGGTTCTTATTTTGTGCCAATCGGCCCAAATTTGACTCTTTGGCACATCATTTGCTAATCTACACACATGTCCTCGCTAACCTATGCCAAATTCAATTTCTTTAGGGCACATTTAGAGTCATTTTTGTGCAAAGGGAAAATTCAACTTCAGTAAAGCTTGGCGATTGGCATAAATTTGTCTCTTTGGAGCACAATTTAATAAAAATCGGACGATTTTTTAACTTCATTACGTTGAGCAAAATTTTGTGGCGATCGGCCTAAATTTAACTTTTTGGTGCATCATTTGATAAAAATCGGACGAAAATATATAAGGGATCTATATCTAAATTTGAACCAATTTCACGTCAGGCTATCCTAACTTTAGTACGTTGTGTAAAATTTCGTGCAAATCGATCAAAATTTGACTCTTTGGTGCACCATTTGCTATAAATCGGACGAAAATATATATGGGATCTATATCTAAATCTTAATCAATTTCAATAAAACTTGAAAAACGTAAAAACGTATTTCCAAGAAATTTATATTTAGTTTTTTTTTTCTTATATTTGACCCTCTTTTTGAATTCATTTCATTTGACTTTCAAAATCTGACTTTACACTTGTAATAAGTAGCCAAGAGGTTTACAAATAATTTGATTAATTCAACTTTAAATAAAAAATTAAATCGTTTTCGATTTTTACGTTTTTCTTGAAGAATCGTAATCAGCATCCTCGAAACCCTAATATGTGATATTTATTTTTTTTTTTATAAACCCACTGCTTCTAATTATGGCCAAAAATGGATCTATGGCCCATAGTGTATTATTTCTAAATTTAGAGTACTGCCAAATGAAAAACGAAATAGATGATATGCCCTCTTTTTTTTTGCATTGTTAAAAAAAATATTTGTACAATATTCACATATTTTTTTTAAAATTGTAAACAAAGTACAGGATTTTTAATCCGAGAGTTTCAACATTTACTTTTACCGTAAAATATTGATTTAAAAATCCTTAAATTCTTTATTAAAGGGCATCTACAATCAATTTAAATTTTTAATTAAAGTATTATATAATTTGATTTCATCAATTTTTTATTTTTTTTCTGTTTCAACTTTTCCGTTTTACCATAAAATATAATTTTAAAAATCCATAAAAAAATCCTTAACCCTTTAAATGTTTAATTAAAGTATTGTATAATTTCGTTTTATCCATTTTATATTTTTTTCTGTAATTAGCTTGATTTTTCGACAATTTAATTAGATCTAAGAATATGTTAATTTAAAACTATTATCTACTAATTCGGTGCAAATAACAACATTTATTAACAAAATCAAGAGATTTCTTTACACAGGTTTAAAACATGAATATCTAAAAATCTATAATACAAAAAATAAACATTTAAAGTTATTTTCCAACCACAAAATAAATACTAAGCGCCATCGCTTATCTGAACACTACTCACTCACATAACCACAAAAAAAACACACAAGCCACAAACAAACCTTAACGAATTCGAAACCAATCCAATGCCATGAAAATGGACATTAAGCAAACATAAATAAATATGAGCACCAAGAAAAAAACAACATAAACATTCATAAATACTTTAAAGAGGTGTGAAAACGTACACAGAGAGCGAGAGCAAGCAAACCACCATTGCAACAACAAGAAAAAAAATCAACAATAACAAAAACCACCCGATTTAATGCGAATTAACTCCTACTTGATATGCTATCTCTTTCTAGCATATGGAGTCACACATTGCATGCTCACAAACAATATGGCCACCAGAGTGGTGCTCTAACAAAGAGAATATGTGTGTGTGAGAGAGAGGAGTATTGGGTTTTGTTGCGTTGTTTGTTTAACGGGCAAAGCAACAATGTGAATGGTGCAAAGGCACACACACACGTATACATCACACAAAAATTTGAAGAACTTAAAAAAGAGCACACAGCCCTCCTTATAGGCATTTTTGCTCTTTGTTTTGTTTGTGGGTTTTTTGTGTGTGTGTGTACAAGAGCCCTCAAAGAAAACAAATGAGCTGCTGAGCCAGCCGCTATGCTGTGACCGTCATCGCTGTCGTCGTCATCGTCGTCGGCCGTCTTCTTGCGGTGAATTAACCAAACGAAACTCAGTCAACATTTAGAACTTGACGACGACGCGTGAACGTGTGTGGTGGAGAAGTAATTGTGTGTGACGTCGCGTGTTTTGTTATTACTTTTCTTTTTGGTTGGTTCTGGTTGAACGTCGTCTTTAGCCAAAGTTGTTTTAACCAAATGTAAAAGCAAACGGATGAAAGAAAAAAAATAAACAAACCGACAACACTTTTCAAAAGTGAAACAATATTTTAACCCACAAAACAAAAGAGAAGAAAAATATTTAAAAATTACAAAAGAAAAATAAATTAGAAATAAAAAATCAAAACAAAAATAAAATAGTAAAATTTTACAAAGAGAAAAATAAACAAAAAATCAGCAAAAGTGTTTTTAAGTTCCTATTTAGCCGTTACAATTCTGTTGATTTAAAAGTTATAACAAACAGCCCAAACATGCTGGTGCCGTCGGATATGATTGCGGCCCAATCAAAAATGGTCTATCAAATGAATAAATATTGTGCGGATCGTGTGCAAACCCGCAAGGCACAAATACACAAACAAATTTTGGAAGTGTGTCGCATAGTACAGGACGTTCTCAAAGAGGTGGAGGTGCAAGAGCCTCGTTTTATATCTTCCCTAAACGATTACAATGGTCGATTTGAGGGCCTCGAAGTTATATCACCCACAGAATTTGAAATTATTATCTACCTCAATCAAATGGGTGTTCTAAATTTTGTCGATGATGGTACCCTACCCGGCTGTGCAGTACTAAAGTTGAGTGATGGCCGTAAACGTTCCATGTCGTTGTGGGTAGAATTCATCACAGCTTCGGGGTATTTATCGGCACGTAAAATACGTTCCCGCTTTCAGACACTGGTCGCTCAGGCTTGTGATAAATGTGCCTATCGTGATATTGTCAAAATGATTGCCGACACAACAGAGGTTAAGTTGCGCATTCGTGAACGTATTGTTGTCCAAATAACACCTGCATTCAAATGTGCCGGCCTATGGCCCCGTTCGGCGTCACATTGGCCCATACCCGGTATACCATGGCCACATCCAAATATTGTGGCCGAAGTTAAGACTGAAGGATTTGATATGTTGTCCAAGGAATGTATAGCATTGCAGGGTAAAAATTCCGCCATGGAAGGTGATGCCTGGGTGTTGAGTTTCACAGATGCCGAAAATCGTTTGCTGCAAGGTAAGTTGAGGGTTGAGGGGAGATGAAGTTTGTCTTAGATTTTTTTCCTAATGCCGTCGGTATTTTTTTATATAGGTATTTCTAAAAATGAGAAAAATAATTTTCATTTCATTTTTTTTGAAAATGCATGAATGGAGTAATTGTAAGGAATATGCCGTCAGTGTTCCAGTGACACTTTACCAGGATTAGACATTATTTAAGGATTTCTGTTAGATCTCGAAAAGGTTCTCAAACAAATGGTTCTGGTTAAATTTGTATTGATTTGTGTGACATAAATAAATTGAACCTTCACTTTCATAGAATAGAATTTCAACTAAATATATATTCAACTAAATACATATAATTAAAAAATAGACATATAGGTGTATATAAGTTTTGCTAGGGTCTGAAAACGAAGAATCAAAAAAAAGTTTTTTCAATTTTTTTTAATTGACAAAAAAAATGTCCTTAAGGCTGAAGTGTCATCGAAATTGAAAAAATATCCTATTGAGATAAAAGTCAGTTATGATTTCTCAAAATATATCCAAAAATAATCCAACGCCATAACCCATGGCCTAAATACGAACCTACGAATTTCGTAACGATCGATCCATAACTGCATTCCGTACTTTGATTACAAATTATAATGGAAAGACGGACGGAACACTTAGCTAAATCAATTTAGCAAGTCAAGAATGTCATATTCAGCATACTAAAAGGTAGGTTCAAGACCAATATTTTGAGCCGGATCAATATCTTGAACAAATCAGATCAGATCTGATTGGAGAAGAAATCTTTAAGTCAAATATACAAAATTATGTAGGTGGTTGTATTTTTATTCAAGTTATGAGGACCTATAAATCTTAATTCTGACCTATTGGAAACCAAGTATGTGATCTATAACTTTCATACAGAGGCAACTGTTGTAGTTGTGGAAATAAATAGGTGGAAAATGTAAATACCACGAGTACAGCTCTTGTAGTCTTACGTAATAAAATCTGGATTTTTACCTCAAGTGTATCTTCTCAGATACCATATAATATATGGATTTGTAAAAATATGGGTGGATTATTTACAGAATATATTTTAGGCATCATCTGATACTTAGTTTTTTTAAAAAAATTTTTTTTAAGAGGCCAAATGATTTTTAAGGACATTTAGAAGTGGTGATTTTTTCAGCACCAATTAAGTAATGTGAATGTTTAAAGAAAACATTTGTTTCGTATCATCTGTAGCCTGGATTTTTTAAGGAATATATTTAGGGGATCATTTAAAATGTGAAGTTTTAAAATGAAAACATTTCAGTGCTATAGATTCCATTGCTTATTACCTTCAGAATAATTGAAAACAGATCCGAAAATTCAATGTAAAACATTGTCCTACAATAACAAGGCATTCAACTCGGGCTCTATACATAATCGAAATTATTATATCTAGGGATTTGGGTTAATTGCTAGTTTTTATCATTAAATTTTCTTTGTAATTGGTCTAATTTGTCTACAAGTACATCTGTCACATTTTCTATGTATTCTGATCTGAATGTGATAAATTCGATCTATATAAGGCCATATTCAATTGTTTGAATTTATTTTGATTTTTTATATATCGACATACACCACATTTCGAATAATTGTTATTTGCACATAAACGAGTAATTCAATCCAAATTGTATTTCAATTTAATTTGTATTATTATTGATTGCATTGTTATCTGTGAAAAAGGTGGTACCATTTCACAGGTTTAAACATGATTATAATATTACGAATCGTACTCAGTTATAGCCCGTGAATAATAATGATATGATTTACTAGAGACTGGTTGTACACTCATGCAAAGAAATTAGTTGAAATGAATAACAAGGAAAGCTAAATTGATTATCAGATGAAGAATCAAATTTTCATTTTGAATGGGTTGGTAAATGAAGGATATATTCTATTCATTAAAAAATCTGAAACCAAAAATTCCAACGGCATAGATAGAGTACATACATGTTTGGCTCGAAAATTGATAAAATGAAAGAACTCAGATTTTAATTCCTCTTTTTTAACCAAATAATTAGGAGTAAAGATTTGATTTTTTTTATAATTTTGTTTTATTGTGATGTACGTGTATTCTAGTGTTGTTAATCATGCATAACATTTTCACAATTTAATTACATAAAAAACGCATTTGAATTAATTTATATTATCGGCTTCATTGATATCTTTGGAATAAATGGTACCGTTTCACAGATTTATGAATTCCAATGACAATACGAGAAAAATAAACTAATTCATTGTCGGTTGTTGTTTTGTCTCAATTTAATTAGAATTTGTGATTATAACTTCAGTTTGAAAATACACTCAAGAAAATAAATTAGTTGAAGCACTCATTCCATAATGTGGAGAGTATATTGAATTTGTCATTTCGTTTGGAACAGTTCGAAATATTCGAAGACCCGAAAAACATGTAACATACGATTTTTGATGCGGTTTGCTGAAATTTGCAATTTGAAATATTTTTTCATGTTTTCACCATTTTTGGATTTAAAAAATAAAATGAACCAAAAAAATTAATTTTGAATATATCCATGATTTGGAGTGGGTATCTCCCGTACCTTTTGATGTTTGTTTTTATGGTCCTAGCCGCATTTGTCAACCAAATGGTCTGCAGTTGTTTCTGGTTGGGGTTTTATTAAATTAATTTTGAAAAATGAATACATTCACACAAATTTAAATATGTCATTTCGAAATTGTTATGATTTTCATATTTTTATTTTGGAAATGCACAATTCAAGGTTTTTTAAAACCAACTAATAATTTCTAGGAAAACTTCTATATATACAGGGTGAGATAAAAAAACTGCAACAAAGTGAAACGCCATAATTTTTACATTTTTCTTTTAATTTTATTGAATGAAAGCAAAAAATTTCGGAAATAGCATCAAATTTTAGAATAAGTTTAGAGTTGTCCGAATTGGTCACCTTTGGCACTAATTATGGCTTCCAAACGGCCAATGAAACCGTCACACGCTGTCCGAATGTTGCTCTGCGGTATTTTGGGCCTTTCCCGGCGAAGCGCTTGCTTGAGGTGATCGACACTTTGGTATTTTTTAGTGCCAATCTTGCTTTCCAAAATACACCAGACACAATAGTCCAACGGATGGGTATCCGGAGATTTTGGTGGCCATTGTGCCATGGAAATGAAGCGAGGAACCTCATTTTGTAACCATTCTTGGGTATTATAGAATGTCTAAGGTCTGCGGCCAAAATGTTTGCGTGCCCAAGGCTTTAATACATCCTCTAGAATATTGTCGCGATAATATTCGGCATTTATTCTGATGCCACGGTCAATTAATACGAGCGGAGAGCGACCATCGGCTGTTATGGCGGCCCACACCATCACCATGGCCGGTGCTTGAGTTCTTGTGGCCAACCGAAGGTGCACATTTTCAGCTGACCTCTTTGGCAAAGTAAACACGATCATTTTGTTTGTTAACAAACTGCTGGACAACGAATTTTTTCTCATCGGAGAAAACCAAATTCGGCAGTTCAACACTTTCGGCAAACTCTTTAGCGCTTTTGAGTCTATTTTCTTTCTGTGTAAGTTTTTGCACTTTTTGGAATTTCAGTGGCTCAATATTTGCCGAATGAAATATTGCGATATGTTCAGCTCATGGGCCATTTTTCGGCCACTGCGATGAGCTTTCGATCAAGTCGCTTCTTTACTTTTCTGCTGATGTTGCTGTTTTATTCCGTCTACTTCCTTGTCGTCGAGCTATGCTACCAGTATCACGGTAACGATCGATGGTACGAGACACAAAAGATATATTCACATTTAAATGCTGGAGTGCTCTAACGATAGCCACTTGTGGTTTTCCAGCCAAATATAAAGAAATCATACTACCACGCTTGAATTCCATCACGAAAACCTTTTTTGCTGGAAAATTCTCGCCAAATTGCTTTTGTACGCTTGTAAACAATATAATGAGCTGTCACAGGAATAATTTTAACAGCTGTCGGACGAGTGGCTTAGAAATGACAGCAGTCTGAAGTTGGTTGCAGTTTTTTCATTTCACCCTGTATATGTGATATGTTATGTTTCTTAATGGGACCTTGACACAGAGAATGAGTGGGGTTTCCCTTAAATTATTGAAATAATGCTGAGAGTGCTGAAAATGAATTTCAATATTTTAATTTTCGATTTTTTTTTCTTTCCACTAGACTCATAGATTTTTTGTATTAGATTTATTTTTTCAATTATTGAATTTATATTACATATGTTGTCAATTATTGTGAGATATCACATCGACCACATTGACAATTTTCCTCACGTACATATTTCGAGAAAAAAAACCCTTTTCTGTAATTAAAATACAATGAAAAGAAAATCTCAACTTGTCAATAATTTCAGCGGTTACTTTAAATTACGATCGCATGAGATCAATGACTAACATCTAGATCGGAAATTTGCCAATGTCTCTCATAGGCAAAAAAGAAATAATCATCAGGCTACAACATAATGACCAACAATAGCAACAGAAAACTCATACAAAAACTTAGATCTCTATCTCCATATGAACGCATGTTCGTTCATATGTCTCTCCTCACTTGTAGTTCTATCAAAATCTATTATCGCGCACATTCGCATTTAATTTATAAGTCATTATATCAATCGGCATTTAAAGCCCCCTCAAATAAATCAATTATGGTTAAGTGTGTCACTGATTACTGCCAATAAATACGACAGACGACCTGGCATTTGATATGCTCAGAGATTCAAATGGTTAGTTGGTTGGGAGGAGGCTAGGTAGGGGGGACTTTTTATTTAAACGCACTATCACTCAAGAAAAGTTGGTGTTTCTTCAAAAAATATAAATTTTGTCAAAAGAAACAAGAACAACAACAACCACCCGGAGAAATATTTGACATGATATTTTCATAGACACACCAAACACCCTTCCAGCTGGGAGCTATTTATTATTGATTTCGCTTTGATTGTTTTTCTTGTTGTTGTGGTTTGTGATCGCCGTCACCGTTGTCG